ATTCAGTAATCAGTGACAGTAAGAGGCAACAGCTTAAATTCCTGCTAACACTTTTTACAAATAAAGACTGAGCTTGCTTTAATAATTAATTCCAAGTGCAAACAGTCATATTTTTTTTTACCTTATGCTTTTTCATCTTTTGCTTGACAGCGGCACGGATGGCCTCCAGAGACTCTTCTTCCTCCTCTTCCTCTTCATCCAAACCAGTGTCAAACAGATCTGTGTCACCCAGCGGACATCCACTGTCATTCAGACCCCGAGAGAGCGGGGTGTTCTAGGGAAATGAGTACAACGTTGTCTTTAAATTATACAATCAAATCCACATCAAGGATTCTGTTTCTGCTTAGTTTAATATTTTAATGTATTTCCAAAATCTGGTACTTTGTGTAAATGTTTACAACTTGATTTTAAACAGACATTACATACCGCAATTTACATAATTATTCCTAATGGCTGCAAACATTAGAATGTGAAACAATGATCTAAATATTCAGATATATGTACAGCAATACACACTGTGTATATACAACATAGTTTTCAATGTGCAGTTTCCAAACAAGACTAGATCCCTGATGTACCAAAGCGTTGATGTAAAGAGATCATTAGGATAAGAAAAACAAAACAACACACCACTGTGAGAAAAGTCCAAACTCCACTGACCTCATTCATTTCAGAGACACTCTCCTTCTTCTTCTTCAGTTTTTCCACTGCTTTGCTACGCTTCTCCTTTTTCTCCCGGTGCCTCTGGCTCTTCTCTCTCTTCTTTCCGTCTTTCTTTGATTTCCCTTCCTTGCTCACCTCCTCCTGCTGCTGCTCCTCCATTTCTCCACATTTCTCTTGCTCGGGCTCGCTGTCGTCGCTGTCAATGGGAGCACGGCTTATTCTCTTGCTCTTCTGCGGTCCTCTCTCTTTCCTCTTATCCTTCTCCTCTGCCTCTCCGGTCTCCATCTCCTCTCCGCTGGAAGCAGATAAGACCAGTGCTTCGGCCATGTGTACACTGTTCTCCGCAGCTGCCCCCTCTTCCTCGCTGTCACTGTCTCTGATGGCGTTACAATTAGGCTTTCTGTGTACTGTGATGTCTTCATCATCATCATCAGAATCTAAAAAACAAATTTACAATTTAGAAACAATCAAATATATCCGCACACATGCAGTGGTGCTAAAAGTTTGTTGTTGCTGCTGTTTATCCTGTGTATTGCTGTGCTGCTTGTATGTCAATTTTATGTGCTCCAATATTACTCTATGATTGATACAACTACATGCACAGGGCAAATTTCTTTGTAGATGAGTCTTGTACATCATGGGATGTGGTGCAAGTAGTAATTTGACTGTTGTAATTATTGTTCGTAGTTAAGTATCCACAAAATACCTAAACCATATGATGTAAATGTAACAAGTTAAATGCAATTTCACAGACATTAACATAAGCACACACAGCCAAAGTGGCTCCTGCCCACTTCTCTCAGGCTGGATTATCATCTATTGTTGTGTTACTTCACCTGGAAGCTCCTCTCTTTTGTTGGCCGTCTCTGTGACCATCTCCTCCGCTGGAGAGCCCATCCCGCTGTCTGAATCACTCTCTGTTGTTGTTTGGACCACAGCTGGGAGCCCCTCGGCCTAGGTACAATGACCCAAAACAGAATTTAGCCATCATAAAATGCATTTTCTATAGCAGTGGGTCCCAACCTTTTTTGTCAAGGACCCCCATTTGATAAGATTTTTGGTTGTTTGAATTCTTAAGTTGACAACCACAGTTCAGGAAGTTAAACCTATGATCAGAGTAGTCACTCTTATGACTCTTACTTACATTGAGTTCACTTCTACAGTAAATTACAAGGTCATAATAAACCAATCCCACAAGGACCGCTGGCTGAGAAGAACCACTGTTTTATAGTATGGGGAACTGCAGTATGTTTACTGGGGGAAAAAAACATGAGGCTCCAGATTCAATGCAACACCGCCTGAATCTAAGACCCACACTATTAGTTGTGTGTGCCTGTGGTTACATATTGTGTTCTGTATGCTGTAGCAATACTTTAATGAAACCTTAAGATACAAAGTACCAATTTTATGGTTAGGGTAAGAATACAGCTATTGATAGCCGTCCAATTCACTGTTAAACTTTTCCTGGGATGCCAAAGTTACACCGTGTCTGTATTTGTCAAATAACACTCAAGTAAAGGTAACTTCTTGGCAAAGTTAATATGAAGCATTAGGGTCGATTATACGAGTTTAAGCAGGCAAATGGCTGTTAAATTACATCAGTAGCGCCTCGCAATAAACCAAACAATGAGCACGTAGCTACATTACCTAGCCACATCGCTCCCTTCCTACATTTGCAGTTAACTTAGCTAATGTTACATGTAACATACATTAAAAGTTACATATTATCTCTGTGAGTAGCCCCCAAGATCACAATCTGCATATATGTAAGTTTTTAACAGTGGTTAACAAGGCCAACATGCATTTAATCGATGTGACCAGGCCAGGACGACAACCACCATTTCAGCTAGCTAACCCTGACCTAGCGAGCTAGCTAACTGGCTAGCGCTAACTATACCTGCTAACTCCGCTTTAAGGAACAATTTAGGTCTTTCTACCCAACTTACAATAAGGGGGGCATTTATGTTAGTCTGACACTTTCACGTTAGGTAGCTGTCGTAACTACCGAGTGATATCTGAAATCATTTCCTCACCTGTTGTTGAGAAACGACCAGGCTCATCTTTGTCCGCCGGTTACTTTACGCTCTTTTTGTAAAACACTCCAGCGGAGACGACGCTTCGTCGACTCTCGGCAGCCACAACAGACGTCGATAAGCAAATGTCTGCGCGACAAAGGCTATTTTAGACTTTTGAAGCACATTTAGAAAGTGTTTAGCCGGGCTGTTTCTCTTCCTCCCGCCTGATGCCGACACACCGAATAGAAATTTTGATCTTTCGCGCGCCGTGACAGCTGGCCCGCAGTTTTTCGTCATCGGAGTGTCAATCGCCCGGTTCCAGCTCTCCTATTGGTCAGTAGGGGACATTTGTATCCGCCCAGTTTAACGACACAGCTTGGAGGAAGCTGGTTTTAAACACCGGAACTGCTCGGGCGGGCGGGGTCGAGGGTGTTAATGCGTAAATGAGGCTGGTTTGAGGCTTTGTTGAAAGAAGTTTCTCATTTGTCCCGCTTCATGATGCAAAATCTACTGAAATAACATGTTTAATGATTGGTGCATTTGTTTCCATTTATTTCCCCTGAAGTGATTCTCAACCGGTGTGTGTTTACGTAACAAACATTCCCTGTGTATCATCCCATATAACTGAGTTGAGAGACATTCACTGTAATTGTTATTGGGAATAAACCACATGGTAATGGAAGGTTCCATGTATTGATCATCAATACACTTAACACCTGTTGGTAATGATCATGTTCTGAATATTCTTCTTCAAACAAAAGCATTTTGGGTGATCATATAATAAAAGCGGGTCAGTTTAGGATGAACAGTATGTAGGCTGAATGCTACTAAGGGACAAAGAGATTCTCCTTGTGAATCATAAAACCATAATGCATGGTTTTAGTGCTTGGTTTCAATTTGAAATTAATGAAATACCTTTTTCTCTGTGCATGTGTATTCCAGTGTTAGAATACAATATATTACACAGGCTGCACTACATGTTACAGTTTGCCCCTCAGCAGATTAACATTGTGCACATTCAATGTGTTATCTGCATCTTGCATCAAAGTAAATATAGGCCTACTGACATGATATTTATGTACAGTATGGACTCTCTGTACTCCAGTGTGCCTGCTGGGTGATGCAATATTAATGTATGAATTTCACAACAATAGTCACTTTTCAGATCAAGATTTTACATACAAAACACATTGCAGACTTAAAATACATACAATACATTCATTGTTATAGATTTACCCATGAACAGAAAGTATTTCAAAATAGCTCCATCTCAACCAACTACAACAGTAAAATGCTTCTTAGACATCTATGCATCAGAAATAATAACTCAATAATATAATAAAGACAATAATGCACACACATTTGTGTCATTTTCCTTTGTTATGAGGACTTTTACTTTTAATACTTGAGGTACATTTTGCCAAAATTACATACATACTTTTACTTAAAATATATTTGAAATACAGGACCTTTACTTGTAATGGAGTATCTTTACAGTATTGTATTGCTATTGATGTAAAAATCTGATTAAGTGGCAAAATAAATATTCAGATCTGTTACTTGGGTAAAAGCAGCAGTACCACAGTGTAGAAATACTATATTGCAAGTAAAATTGAAAAACAGACTTAAGGTACCAACAGTGAAAAGAGTCATGGAGAATGAGAATAGTACTACATATTATTGGATATAGGCATTGATCCATGAGTGTTATGCATCACTTCAATGTTTCGGCTGGTAAAGGTGGGGCTACCTTTAGTTATTTATCTAAATCTATAATAATGCATCATAGTTTATTTTACAAAAAATTAATTACTCAAGTAATTCCATGCCTAATTACTCTTTACTTGAGTGAGTAATTCAGTAGTTAGTACTGATTATTTTTTCCAATAAGTGGTTGTACTCAAGTACCAATGGTAGCCTATTTGAGTGCAGTTGGAACTGTCTTCAAGATTAAGTTGCTGAGTCCAGGACCAAAGTACAGTATTTGAGTGTTATTTCAGTCAGTGTTGGCCTGCTTCATTTGAATATTTTTGCTCCCTTTCACCTGGTGTTGGTTTGGTAACTTGTGTATTTTTACATTTCCATCTTATATTTTGTTGTCTTAAACTATATGTATTATATTATATTGTATATAGTCTTAAATTTATGATAAGTTTTACTGTATCCAGTTACTATTCCGCAGCTCCCCAGCTTCTACCCCCGCCCGTCCATTGACTGGGATCATTAAAGTTTGATCTGCCAGTGCGGTACAACAAATTACGCATGCGCAGAGCGGACTCCACGGCTTCTGACTGACGCATGCGCACTTACAAATCCCCAGAACCAGCAGCAGCGGCGGTAGCTCAGGTCAGTTAGTTCAGTCAGCAGTCATCCGCGCATCTATCTATATTCCCTTTTCTTAAATTAGCCACTTTAAGCTTCGCGATACCGCCCCCAATTTCAGCGTCGGTACGGAGCCGCCAGGCCGGGACAGAGACGGAGAGAGAGGCCTCGGCCATGGAAGCGCTCGGACCCGGTAAGACATTTAAGAAAATAGAAAAAACCGAGCGAGCGGCGGAGGGAGCGAGCCGTGTGTGGGGCGCGTGTGCGCAAATGCGTCGCATCACTGGGGGCCGCGGCTGCAGCGAGGCCTCGACGCTCAGACGGGAAAACAAACCGAGGCCCAGCCCGTGTGTATGTGTGTGTGTGTATGTGTGTGTGAGGGGATTTATTTACACCGAGCGGAAGCCACGTTTTGTGTCTGTACGAAGAGGGTTGGTGTTTAAACGGGTTATCCAGTAATGTCTGCGCGGTTTTATTTATCTGAAGCACGCACAGCCCGTCGTGTCGGGGCTGGCATTGTGTGAGTGGGGATTTAACTAGGACCTTCCTTCCTCCTTCCTTCCGCGTCGTGGTGTGTTTACGTTGTTTGTACACGATGTGTTTCTCTTTGACCGCACAATTCGACCCAATTCCTACACCGAGACCACACAATCCCGTCGAAATTTGACAAAATATCCCACCTGTGTTAAATCTTTGCTGCTAAACCATCTAAATTTGTACCATCGCCATCGGGAACAGTACGTCTCTTCGGCTGCCCTCCGTCCAAGATGACAGCGATGGCTTGAAAACAACACAAACGCCGCTAAAACACGTTACAGGCGTTAAATGAGCAGACGTGCGTGTTTTGTGACTCCCAATTTACTGCTTTTATACGAGTCTGTCATTGGTTCACGCGCCATGCGTCTGTGTGAGAGCACAGCAGGAATGGATGGCGCTTTTATCGATCAGATCTGCAGGCCAGCTCCATATTATTTTGCTATATAATAACAAAGGCACTTTTTTGCAGCGATGCAGTGATCTAATGATGAAGCATGCGACGAGAAATCAGCCGCACACCTGTACACTCGGCCATACAATGCATTTTTATTGTCAGAACATGCAAAATGTGTGTTTACCTCCATTTTTTTCCTACTTAGACAAACTGTTCCTCATTTTGTTTGAGAAATGCGCCCTTACATACTGCTGAGGGATTGAGTGCAGCTTGCAGTATGAAGTGAAAAATGTTTTTTATTCTAATTGCTGCATGTCCACACATTGCCCACATGCTCTAGAAAAAAGGTGGTGGCATTAAGGTGCATTATCCAAGGAGGACATTTGCTTAAATACATGTTAAACAGATGCATGGTGCTGTGTGAGTTTCCAGAGGAATGTTTAAGAAACCAAAATATTGTGCAGCCATCTACAGGTGTGTGAGCCACACATAATCAGTGAAAGCGATCAAACTCTTATCTATTCCAACAGCAGCTGCTACTTTGCAAAATTCACCAGGTACTCCCAGGGTTTCCAGGAGCCAGTTCCATTTCTCAGGGAGGACTTATACTTAATACATGTTTATCTTTGCAAAGTGGAGTGTGTATGAAGGTTTGCTATTGCAGGCATCATTTACTCACATTAATAATGATAAATGGGGGTGCAGCAGTGTGGTTGTAGAGCCCAGTATCAATGTCAGATCTTTTACGCTCATGTTGGCCGATACTAGGATGCCTCTTTATCTAAGAGTCTTAGTAGAAAATAATGTGCAAAACAATGTAAGCCTGTCAGAATGCCTAACTTATACACTAATTTTTTCCACAGTTTCAATTCTTCAAGCTGCAAAGTGATAAAAGAACAATTCTGTATTGCTTCGTAAAGGAATATTTCACCCACAAAATGCCTATTTGTGTATTAATCAGTCATGCTGTGTAACCTTAAACTTATGAAGAAAACTGTTCTTTTTACATGCCTACATGGAAAACAGCAAACACATTGATTAATTGGGGACCGTGTTTAACAACAGCACAACTGGATCAAAACAAACTCAAACCAGCACAGCAAACTCTCACGCAACTCATTCAGTAAAATCAAAGTCTCATTTATCCAGTCATATGCCCAGTCAGGGTATGAAATTAACAAAATATTTTGGGGGCAATTTTGGCCCCCACGGTCTAAAAAATGGGGGAATTTTCGAAATGTTTGGGGGCCATCAAAAAATTGTAATTATGTTCTAACAATAAGCACATGAAAAGCAAAACCAACTAAGATAGTGTCTTCATTCACTCTAAATGGATGTTTTCATATGGTTTTACTGTTTAAGTGGTCCCCAATCAATAAATCAATATGTTCGCTGTTTTCCGTGGAGGCATGCGAGAAAAACAAAGTCTTCTTCGTTAATTCAAGGTAACACAGCACGACTAAATAATATATAAATTGTCGTTTTGTGGGTGAAGTAGTCCTTTAAAGCTTTAAAGACAAACTGTCAATATCCAGCGCTGCATAGAATCTCCCACTGAAGAACACAGTGTTCACATTGCAAAATCTAATTCACAAAGCGCATTAGTTGAAGGGTGTTTCTTCATTTTGTTCACCCGGCGTAAATGTTGTAATAATCAGGTACTTTTCTTCAAGAGTAATTTTTCTACAGAACATGGATTTCACCAAATGTTATTTTAGTTTGCATTTAGTGTGTTGTTGTCATGTTTTGTAGGATGATGTGCAATGTTCATAATATGCAATATAAAGTGTCACACATTTAAGCGGCATCTAAATATGATTTGGTTACTGAAAAATATGATTAAGGATTTCAAAAGGTCTTATAACATATGCAAGATCTTACCTGGAAAAATTTAATTGTGCTAAACTTTGATTAAGTCATTAGAATCATCAAGAGTTCAGACTAAATGCATCACAGAAAAGATGTCAATAGAGGCAGACAGGCAACAATTTACTGTAAGTGATGTGATTTGACACAAAGATGAGACCACTCAAGTGGAAAATGTTTCAACTTTAGAGAGAAATTCATGATTACCCCAAAATATATGACTCCACACTGCGAGAATCTACAAAAATGGGTGCAAAAAGGCAACGGACTGCTATTCTCGGTAGAATTTGGGAATGTTCGATAATCTCAGCATGAGCTATTACACATAGACCTGATGTGTGTGTTATGTGTGGGAAATGCATCCATTGGCTGTTTATGGCTGATGAACACTGACTGCAGAGGCGACATTTAGGTAAAAAGTGAATATTGCTTTGCCGATCTAAACCCATTAGTTAAAGTCAAAATCAGTTGCTCCAGAAGCAACAGCCTTGAGTTAAAGTTCTCTACACTGAGGGCTGGGTATTTCCTTCTTGTGAATGGTCTCTCTCAGTACCTCCTGTCTTTTCCACAGTCCTACGTGTATTACCTTAATCCAGGTGATTTGCAGGTGTGGGTGTCTCAGCGCGCTCCCTGCTCAGCGCTGTTAGTCTCTGACTCATCACCAGGCCAAGCCATCATCCTCATGCTTAGTTTAAGCCCAGCTGTCTCTCTGCTTGATCACACTGTGGTTACCAGGGACACATGTAGCATTAGTAGGCTCCACAGTGCACGAGTAGTAAACCTCTCTTATCAGATGTGAGTAAACCACACACAGTCTACTGGTTTTTAAACATTAGATCAGCGAAGAGGAAAAAAAACAGCGTTATTGGACCGGGAGGCGATAATCTTTGTACTGTGTTGTGTTGCTCTTTGAGGATGTTGGTGGTCAATTTTGGAGCCAAGATGAAAGATGCACTCAGACAACATAAGGAGCAGCGAAACTTGTTTGGCTCCAGTGCATGATCTGTCATTTTCTGCGCCAGGAAAAGCTAATTTCACTTCCTCTGTGACTCAAAGCTGCAGCTCTGTCTCACTCTGAGCAGACGCTTAAAATTATAGAGGGCGTTTGCTTAACAAGTTGCTTAAATCGAGGCCCAAATGCCACCTTTGGGTCTCTTTATATGATGTCTAGCTCTATTTAAAATGTTTTATTGAAAGTGATTCTGTCAAACAGAAAAAGACCTGCTAAGATCATCTCATTGTTCTTTAATAATGCATGACATGGCTCCTAAAGTTATGTATAAAACACAATTGGCATGAAAAATGTACATTTTTATCCAAATATGCTTGTGACAAAAAAGGAAGGGCGTAGTCAAAAAAGAAATCACTTAAGAGAGGGTGTATTCTAGATGGAATTAATGTTGTCCTGCATATTTTTGGCTTTAGTTTAATTTCTGTTCAAGTTCCACTCTGTACTGTGTTGGACGGCCTGCATGGGCATGTGATGCTCCTCCTGAAATTTTTCATATCAGAAGCTGTTTGTGAATTTTTAATGTTCGCTTGCTGGTGCCCATGTTTTCCCCCATGACAGTTTGGAGCACTAAAATATTCTGTTACGTGAATGTAGGCCAAGTTGTGTTTTTTTTCCTCTCAGTGTAGCAGCAGTACAAAATACTGAAGTGACCCCACGTTTACCCCAAAGCTTTACTCAAGTTGGTTATTTGGATGCAACATATCGATGCTTGTTTTTGCTTCTTGATTTTTGTTTTGATGTCATTTAGTTTGAGCTGGAAGTATTAGTCGATGGACAGAAAAATGGTCATTTTTCAAGCAAAAATAGTGACAAAAAGCCAAATTTTATATGATCGGCTTCTCACATGAGAGGATCTGCAGTTTCTTTGTCATATAGGACGGTAAACCGAATATCTTTGGGTTACTGTTGGGCGGACAAAACAAGACATTTGAGTAAGTCATCTTGGGCTTGTGATCGGCAATTTTCCACTAATTTTTAATGTTTCATACGAGGCTGTCTTGAATACCAATTTTGGGGCTTTGAAGCTTCAGTGAGAAATATCAGCAATTAACTGAAGCTTCGCATGAGTTAAGACGGATGACAAGGCATTGTTTGAAACGCCCAGTTTCCAGTTGTTACACCTAAAATAACGTGACAGTTAGCCACTTGGTTAACATGTAGGTTGCAGTAATGTAAATAAATAAAAAAAGAATACATTGCAAGTTAAGCTGTTACTTACAGTTTTCATGATTTGCCAAGCTCGTTGTAGATTTCTGATATGCCAGTATCCTCCGACTTATCTGACACTGGACTTTTTAGTAGTTACCTTTGATAATTTTGAAACCATTCCAAACGCTGACTTTTTCGACACTTTGCTAGCATAACTCTAAGCCTGTCTCGTGTGGTCAAACTGAAACTAGGCCTATCACTAACTTAAATGTCCTTGTCTAACAATTACTAATACCTAATGCTGATGCACAATGACTTATGTTGGATTACTACTTATTAATTTTGGGCTATTTGGAATTTTTGGGGGTGGTACAGGTACAGAATAACGGAGCATCGAATACTGATTTGGACATCAGTTATCATGGCAACAGCTGAAGCTTTGAAGCATTTGGGTCAGCCCAAGTTTCATAGACTCAACGTTAATTGTAAAAAATAATCAGCAGATTAATCAATAATCCTAAATTGCAGCCCTACATTTGGTATCTTTTCTACTGTTATTTGCACAAGCATAAACCTGCATAAGATCCAGGTACTGAAAAAATAAGATATGTGTCAGGAGAGAAAATAAACTACAGGCTTAAACAACAGACCTACCCTTAACTTCAGGAGAAAAACATATGGTTAGTAAAAAAAAAAAAGAACTAAACTAACATAATTCAGAAATAAAAGATAAATGACAACAGGAAGGACACTGAGCAGAAAAACTAACCAATCAGTGCACAATAATCCAATAAAAACAAAGAAATGCATAAAATAAAAACAATACAGAGAAAAGAAGAATAAAAAATATATACACGTGTAAATGTTCTAAGGATAACGAGCTCCTGATAACATGTATTTTGATGTTCAGTAATCATACACCATGATATCTGAGGCAATACTGGCCATGTGTCATTTTGTTAAACAGGAAGGTGAAGCTGATCAGCGTGTCTTGTTTTATATGAATGAATTTGGGAATTAAATTGTAAGAAATTGCTAAACAGTGAATGTAGAGAAAAGGTCAGAACATATATATATTCTATCTATTACCTATTTTTACTTGCTTATTTGTGCTTGTAAACTAACCTGAGACGGTGTTGCTGAATGAAGAAAAACAACAAATCCAATTAATTAAAATCATCCCAGCTAGAGAACAATTTAGAGCTGAGACGATTGGTTTTAATTATCTGCTAGTTGACTGAAGGAAAATTTATCTGCGACTGTTTTGATAATCAAATGAAAACATTTCATTAAAAAAAAACCACTTCCTTATTCCAACTTCTCAGCTGTGAGAATGTCTTGCTTTTCTTTGTCGTATGTGATAGTAAACAGGGTATATTAGGGTTTTGGATTGTTGATCACACAAACAAACAATTTGAAGATATCTACTTGGACCAAACTGACAGTTTATATACTAAACTACTACTATATAATTGTCAGTTTCAGTCATAAGCTGTTATATAAAACATAGAGTTAGGGTTGGTGGTGTTGGCTGTGGTAAGTAGACGAGTTGTGTAGGAAGGATGGGTTCAGGCATTTCATGTTGAGACACGCATATCTAGTGTAGTAGTGTGGCAGCTGAGGAGGCTAAATATAGGTACAACTCTGGTTTTGCTGGAAGTGGAAGAGGAAGACCTCGAACTTGCTGTGCTGCTAATACACAGTAAAACCCTTTTTGTAGTACCTGTACACTTACCCAATGTGCAAAGAAAAATAGAAACACATGTACAGTGCCGTACAGTTCAATGCCCAGGGTATCTGCAGGTTCTACAATCTTAAAAGGTGTTTCATTTTGTTTCCTTAAGGGCCCTAGAAAATAATAAAAGTTTGAACTGTAATTGACCAAAGTCTTTTGCCTGGTAGAGGCAGTAATGTTAGTTGTAGTAACTGATTGAGGGCTATGTGGTAAATAGGCCATATACATACTGGCTTTCCATCATACTTAAATACTTAGCATGGTATTATCTAGAGCTGTGAAGATTAGTCAATCTCCAGAAAGTTTTGATAATTATCTGGAGGGGATCATGCATTTGTGTGTGTTTGAGTGTATGTATATACATCTGTCTGTAGCTAATCTTGCAAACTACTGGACCAATCAGCCTAATTATTTGTGTACATATATGGCTGTATGCTCAAGGATCTCTCGTGGTTGCGGTGATTTCTCAGTTGTTGGAAAACTTGGGGTGCCAGTTTTCTGAAAATGGTTTTGGCTAAGAGCAACAACCCTTACTGTCTGTTGCAGGCCATATTTTGGCCTTCGTTGTCTCTCAGAAACCGACATCCCTGGAAAAGTTAGGTCTCATTTTTAGCCAGAGAATCCGAAGATTGATTCCATACCTGATATGTCATGATCAACTAAAGTTAGGCACGTTACAAGATGAATAACTCAACTGGTTTTGCTAGCTTCACCTCTATGGTTACTGTAAGTGAGCTGGGAGGGACAATTCCACCAGGCGCAGCTGCGACCCGGTTATGTTCTGTACGCTGCACTGCGTCATACCACAGTGGGAGCATTGTAGAAGTTAGGTGTTTTGTTCTCTGGTTTCTTACTTTATTCTCCAACATGAGGATTTGCTGCTCATGTATGCTTTTTACGTTCTTGTAAATATGTTTTGGCCTATTGATTGGACAAATTTCAATATTTTCTGACATTTTATAGACTAAAGGATTGATCAAACATGTCAGATCAATATGTGGATAAACTTCATTCTATATGGTATTAAATGGGTCTTAATCACTGCAAAAACTCTTGAGCACAGTAGTCCTGATATATGCATTAGCTTTGTAAAAGATCAAACTTGTATAAAAGAGGTTTTGACCCATCTCTGTGCTCATAATTTGCAGTTGCGGTGTTGTATCAAACTGCATTTTATCCAAATTGTTTTCTCCACCCTCACATGTACATGTAACTGAAGACAGAAAGTTATACAAACACACTTTCCTGCTTGTAAAGCTTTCTGTAGACACTGTCAACACAACGCACCAGCATGGAGGCATAAAGCAATAAACCTGAACTACTATTGAATTTCTATGCAAGTGAAATGCTTTGTTTGTGACACATAATGCAGAATTACACACACATAGCACTTGGTAGGCCCTTTGTTGCCATCGGTAACAAGGCCAGTAGGACAAAGTAGAGTGAATCATCACATGGTTTTAATCCAAGTCGTGACAAAGACAAAACAGACAAATAGCTTCTTATTTGAAACTGTATCAAAAGCATAATAATGATGTAGAAAATCTGAATAATAAAATAATCAGGCTAATGGTTTGTTTGTGTGATGGATGTGGAGGAGGAGGCGGAGAGGGAGAGGGAGAGGGAGGAGTGGGTAGTGGGGACAGGGAAGGTGATTTGGGGCCCAGGCTAGATGAGGGCATGTTAGGAAGCATGTTTTCAGGAAGCGATGGGGAGGGTCCCAATTGTCCGTGCTCTCGCGCTTCACTTGCTAACTGGAGCATGTGGGTGCATGGAGTTCAGGAGGACCCCCGCAGTCCCTTAGCTGTCAGTTAACAAAAGCTGTAAGCAGCCTCCTCCAACCTCCCCTCAATACCACCAACACAATGTTATTTTAATACCATTCATATATATATATTTTCTGCCTTTTAAGTAATCTTTTTCTCTTTTATCGCAACTAAATTCAGAGCAAAGGTGCCTTTATGTGTTTCCTGTTTGAGCATTTGGCAGACACTCATGTAACGTTAGTGTTGATGTGTGAGATAGATGTGTCATTATCAGGTTCATTTGTAGCGAGATGAGGTCTTGAGCATATATGTGCTATTTTTAACTGATGACTAAAGCGTTCAAGTCGTTTTGTTCCTCCGTTGCCTGCAGCTTTTTATGCTACAACACAAGACTCATGGGCACCACACCTGTGTTATGTACTTGCGTATCTAATGTTTGTAATGTGTGAGTGACATGGATGTGTGTGGCATGTATTGCGTGTAACGGTAATCCCAGACTCTCTGCATGGCACCCCCTCCATATGGTCCTGCTGCTGTCTGTCTGAGAGTAGCTCGGTCTTTGTCTCGGCATGAGGGGTGGGCGCCCTGTGTGTCTGGGTGGAGCTGGGGGCGGGCTGAAGGATAATTGGAGGTCATTGTTTCGCCAGCCCCTTGTTGACCCATGTAGGTCAGGGGCCAGAGTTACGGATCAATCAAGCCGTGTATGTGCGCCTCTGTGTCTATGGGGCCATTTCAGTGCATTCAAGCAGGTGTCACTGATGAGACAGTTTGCAGCAAGCTTGGCGTTACGCCGCACACATTCATCTTTAAAAATCTGACATTTAATGCATAGATAATAGCACACGCTTTCACTGTTGCCACCTTTGTTCACATTCAAAATAAATGCCAAACATGCTTTATGTGAAGCTTAGTTCTTTTGTAGGGAGGAATCCATTCATTTCTTTAAGAGTCTGGTAGATTAAGCCCTCACTGAGAGTAGGGAAGTGACAAATGTTCTTTGAATTTATTTAAAATGAAGAAATTGTGCAAAGTAGTGACCTGCAACAAAGTCAATAAAAAGCCCTTTTAATCTTTAAGATGGCAGGAATTCACAATCACTTTTCTCTCTCTGCAGGCCCGCCCGCCCCTCCCTCTCTGTTTCAGCCTCCGCGGCGTCCCGGCCTCGGCACGGTGGGGAAACCCATCCGGCTCCTGGCTAACCACTTCCAGGTGCAGATTCCCAAGATTGATGTCTATCACTATGATATCGACATCAAGCCTGAGAAACGGCCTCGGAGGGTCAACAGGTAAATCCTACTGGCGGGTTTAAGCAGAAAATATGCATGAGGATGGGAAAGTTGTGTCTTAGATAAAAATAATTTTGAGATGCCACTTGCATCTGTAGCTATTATAACCATAGACTGCTTAAGGTGAAACTTGTCTCCTTGGGGCAAGAGGTTTTAGATACAAATAAATGGGGTATTATGGGAAAAAGAAGTGTTTTCTTTTATTGCAGTTTGAAAATGGGACTCCCTAAAAATTTGATATTTCACCTGGATGGGCATTGTTTGCCAGAAGCAGCAGTGCATGCCTCGGCGAGCTCTGTGACTGTCTCAGCCCCTTTCTCTGAATACATGTTTAGACTTTATATGATGACCTGCATGCACCCTTGTATAAATGCAGAATAAACAGGACTTATTTTGGTTTGATGAGAATGAGAAGGTGGACTGCATGGCAAAGTATTGGTTAGTTTTATTTCTGAAGCTTGGAATATTAGGCAAACTAGACTGAATAATACACAAGCATGAAGGCTTACAGAATATATAAACTATAAACTATTCATTTTCCTGTAATTTCTATATATTTGGTCTCAAAAAATATTAAAATACAATAATTTGCCTTGTAAGTCTGTTTGGGCCTCAATTGATGCCAGATACTACTGCACATTGATATCAGAGTACAGACCCCCTAACTGAAGAGATTTTTGTTGTAGGACATAATTCAGTCCATCTAAGTGTCAGTATATTTCAGCAGTATTTAGTTGTACATAATTTCTACTGTTGATGGTCAACTTAGTAATTTATCAGCAGTCAAGTAAAAGTCATTCACAAGTGAAAGTCTAACATTGACCCAGTGTGAGCACATGAGATTGCATATCAGGCACACAGCACACAGGATGTAAGGCACTGTCTGTGGGTAAAATATATAGTTTAGGGAGTCCCATATGAAACTATTATATGAACTGAAACAGAGATGTTCAGTCTCTGGTCTGCCTGTGTTTTTGGCTCATCATCCTGTTGTCTGTCTTCTAGGGAAGTGGTTGACACCATGGTGCGGCACTTCAAGATGCAAATCTTTGGAGACCGACAGCCTGGCTACGACGGGAAGAGGAACATGTACACAGCACATCCACTGCCAATTGGGAGAGACAGGGTTGGTATTTCACAAACATGACCTTTGTATCTTAAGCATGAGCACAAATTAATTTGTGTAGTAAATTTTGTTAAAAAGAAAATCAAAAGGATTGATTAAAGGACAAATTGTTTGCATTTAAGCACTTAACCCAGTGATTTGTTCATATTGAAGGTGGGAGGTGGCAGGCATGTAAATGGTCCAGTGGATTAGAGAGAGTGTTTGTAGGTTTGTAAGTGGAAGTTTGCCAGCTGGATCAGTCTGGACAGTCTGGACCAGGAATGTGAGATCAGTACTGATGTACTAGGACCTGTGTAATGGAAGATAGAACCCCAGTCTCTTGGATGTTCTCACATTTCTTTACCTTTTCTGTTTATTGCAGCCTAGTTGGGCTTTTATTAATAGTATTTTAACCTCCATTGAAGTTATTTGCAAATGTGTACAATGTATTATAGAGAAAACCTGACAGTTAGTATTGATGTTTGACAAAAAAAAAGTCTGAATGAATGTGAAATCATTGTGGCTGCGTTTGGTCAGTGTCTCTGGGAATAACACAAGTTTACCTTCAAACAATATCATTTAATTATGAATGCAGAGATCAATACTGATATCTGTTTTAACAGTGTAAAGGTGTTTAAGGGTGTTAGGGCCCTATCTTACACCTGGCACAAAGTGAACAAAGTGAAGTACGGTGCAGCACAAGTGTCATTTCTACTCTTAGACCGACAGTTGTCATTTTCACAGCCAGCACACATGTTGTGTAAGTAGGAACTGTACTTGCTCCTATCTTTTCACAAGTTCGCAAGGTGCATACTCTCTGCTTGTTACACACAGACATGCAGATTGGTTGCGGGTAGATGAAATAATGCATCATTAATGAGGAAAATATGAATTACAGTCTCTAAAATGTGAACATAGCAGAGAGCGGAGCAGAGCCTCAGAGCTGCTAAATAATTCCTGATTAAGAGAGACGCTGTGCACATACAAGGAGCAGCGTAACTTCATTGATTATTTGAGAAGCTAAAAGTAGAGTTCTGTTACCTCTGTCAAGTTTATAACTACAGTTTTTAGTTTTTGTTCTACTTGTGTTGAACAGTAAATTAACATCAGAATTTAGGACATTTTTCCAAGGTTTTTTGCTTCTTGTATACAGCTGTTGACTCTGTGTGGCTCCAAGTCATCAAGGATTCTTTTTGTGTTGCTCTCTTTATTTCAATCCAGTTTGCCCTTTGGTATTTATTGCCTTTTATCTCTTCTCGTCACCTGTTCTTCAATCCATTTTTCTCCTCTCATCATCTGTTTCTGTCCCCTTCCTCTGTATTCATCCTCCTCTCTCTCCATCTTCAGGTGGATCTGGAGGTGACCCTGCCGGGCGAGGGGAAAGATCAGACGTTCAAGGTGTCTTTGCAGTGGGTGTCCGTGGTCAGTCTTCAGATGCTGCTGGAAGCCCTGTCAGGTCACCTTAATGAGGTTCCCGAAGATTCGGTTCAGGCTTTGGATGTCATCACACGGCATCTGCCCTCCATGAGGTGCTGACACTCATCGCCTCAAACACACCACCCACATCTTTTTCACATCAGTTGACAGAGTTATTGCTTTTCATCTTTTATTTGTCTGTATTACTTTAATTTCCTGCTGTCTTGTGTCTCTTCCTGATCAAATCAAATTACAGTCAAATTACGTTTTCATGGGATTTTCATTAAACTGAGTTGAGTTTCACAAACAGCTGAACCAAGGGGCCTTGCACTCCTGATGTATTAATGTCCATCTCTGAAGGGGTTTTCAAATTTCTGATGACTTTGATTAAGATGTCACATCAGACTAAAATTTGTGACACTTCTGCATCATAGGGAGAAATTGATTCACCACACACAGATAATTGAGTACACAGTTCCAGATGTACTTGTGTTGTACTTGTGTACATGTTAATTTGTGGGGAGTTTTGCAGGGAGTTTTCCTTTTAATCTGGTTTATTATGTTAAAATACTTGTTGACATTTCATTGATCGAGGTAGTTTGAGTCTGTATTGATTAATTTGGTCCATCATTTACCCCCTGTCTTTGTGCACACAGGTATACTCCTGTGGGGCGTTCGTTTTTCTCCCCTCCAGAGGGCTATTATCATCCTCTAGGTGGAGGCAGGGAGGTATGGTTTGGGTTCCATCAGTCTGTTCGTCCTGCAATGTGGAACATGATGCTCAACATCGATGGTGAGCTGATCGTCTTAGCTATGATTTAAATTTTACCTCAGCTACATTCATTTCACTGGGCATTGTGATATTTGATCTGGGTGTTAACTGAGAGATATGAAGAATGTCATCATGTCTTAATGCTCTACTCAGCAAGATTTAGTGTATTAGTCGGCACACAATCACTGATGATCAGCAGTTCTGTAAGTCCCACTTAGTACAGCTACTGTCATCATGAAAACCAGGTAGAAAACTTCAAATAAAAGTAACTTACATAAGAGAAAAAGACAGATGCTTGAATGAATAAATACCTGAGTTTAATTCAGCTTATCTTAACTACAAACTCATGATTACGTGATGAAAGATAAAATGATTGCTGCCGTAATAAATTTCCAGAGTTGTCAAATCCCACCATCCCACTATAATATAACAGACAATGCAGTGTTATTACCTCTTGATAAGCCTTAAAACTCCTATCTGTTACTCAAATTAAACTTCACGGGATTTATTCCATTTTCTTTCCTTCAGTAGTGCATCACCTCGTCATTTGTTTTTTTAATCACGGGGTTTTTTGAGTCTGAACTCCCGTTAAGTCAGTTGAAATTGTAAAACTCAGTATTTCACAAGGCTCTTTGGCACTGAAGCCAGTTCCTAAATTTATTCAGAGTGAAGGGGTAGTTGAAATGTCCGCTTAACACCAAGACCAAAAACAATGCTCGGCACTTGCTCTGTGAAACTAAGACAGAAACTTGTTGCTGTCACTTAAAATACTTAATAATCTATCATCTTATTTCAAACGAGTTGTAGGATTAACAACACTGTTGATATATGATGTTGCGTTATATTGCCTGTTTCTTCTGTAAAGCTGTGTCAGTGTTTACATCTCTCTTGCTCACTGTCAGCACACATCAGGCCCCACTTTACCCTAAAACCACCACTCAGCCCTAAAAAAAAAAAAATCAAGATTATTTTTTGGTCCACGTTGTCCAGCCCTATTTTATACACATGGCTCCTGATTTGTTGCTTGACTGAGATGGTACGCCTTCTGGTTTATATTCACTTGGTTTTATTGAGGAGACCAAGTCATTCTAAAGAAGGATGTTTAGCAGCTACTGATTAGATCAGCTCATTGATTACGGCCACAGGATAGCGCTTTTAAGCTCTCCTTGTTGCTGCTGCATCCCCACTTTCAATTCTACAGTCTGTCCACACTCTTCCTGTGATTTACAGTATCATGGACTCATGTGACTTGCTGGTAGTTATGATTTATGGGACTGATTTTCTGAATAATGTCATATCCGTTACTCCTCCTCAGTGTCAGCCACAGCTTTCTACCGTGCTCAGCCTGTGATCGAGTTCATGTGTGAGGTGCTCGATATTCAGAACATCAACGAACAGACCAAACCACTGACGGACTCACAGCGAGTCAAATTCACCAAGGAAATAAGAGGTGAGGCACACATACACACAATATGTTGACTTTTAACTTTAACAGACACATTATATACACAACTTCCATGACTCACTGTGTATCAACAGAGATAACAGAGAGGTGTGGACCTGCAAGGCCACATGCATGTTTGTTTTCATGCAGTGTGTAAGAAGCTACACCCACTCGCACATACTCACTCACTGCTACACCAATGCTGCACATTTGTTCTTAACCTCAGGGTGACAAATGATGGTGCTTCTGCTTGTGAACAGAATGTAGGCACTCTCAAATCAGGAAATATGACCTTGAAATTCACTCATAATAGATCTCCTCCTTTTATTCATCATTTATGCATTTTTTTTAATGCAAGAAAATACTGCAGTTCTAAGCAGCTCCAGTCTGTCTTCACATCTATTCTACTGAACCACTGAATAACCTTGCGAGAGATAATGGGGTATGTCAGACAGTGGAATTTCAACTGCATATTTTCGACAGCAGACACTTGTAAGCTCTCTGATTTCTCCTTTTTTATTTGTGTGTTTTGAGTTGTGACAATGTGTAAAGGGAAACTGCGCAGAGCTGAAACACCCTGTATGCAATTGGCTGCCTTGTCACATTTGTCTTTATCAAGGCCTTAGGGGAACACAAGAGAACAATTTCAACCTCTAAATTTGAAGATATCAAAATATTTGAAATAGCATTTGAGTGAAAAATTGTGCTGCTTCTTAACATGACTCTGTAATGATTCTTTCTTGTATGCGTTTTTGAAAACAGGTATGAAAGTTGAGGTCACCCACTGTGGTCAAATGAAGAGGAAGTACCGTGTGTGCAATGTGACACGCCGACCTGCCAGCCACCAAACGTAAGAGCTCATAGTGTATGTCAGCAAAGGCAACATTGTATGTGTGGTGTAAAGTACCAAGACCTTGTAAATATACAATTAATGCAACTTAAGTCATATATTCCCTTTTATTGTTTTACATACTCGTGGACCTGCGTTTGCTTCACTCACATTTTCCATTTATTCACAGGTTCCCCTTACAACTCGAGAACGGCCAAGCCATGGAGTGCACAGTAGCTCAGTATTTCAAGCAGAAGTACAATCTGCAGCTCAAATATCCACATTTACCCTGCCTGCAAGTAGGACAGGAACAGAAGCACACCTACCTTCCCCTGGAGGTGAGAACAAGGCTGTGCTGATGCCCAGTGTGTAGGATTTAGGGGGATATATTGGCAGAAATTGAATATAATGTAATAAGTACATTTTCTTTGGTGTATAATCACCTGAATCATCCACATTAGCAGGTGCTGGGCTAGTGGCCCATCTCAGACATGCCAAACAGCATTGGAGAAATGATGATTTGTAACGTGACACTGCTTTATTCAGTGTTTTTACTGGTTTTAATCACCTTTTCAGTTTGTTTTGGAGAGGAAGACACCTGTGTTGATAATTTGGCTCCCTTTAAAAACCTCTTGAACAAGAAATAGTGAAGGAATCCTGACCTGGAGAAGTTTCAGCTGGTTGCAATCTGCAATCCTCACCACTACATGCCACCAAATCTCCGTAAATCTCACACACTGCTCCTTTAAATATCATTATTTTAGGTTTGAGTAAAAAAGCCTTTCACCTCCAGTTGTTCTCCCTTTTCAGTTTCTTATCTGATTGAGCATGTTAAATCAATGAAATGTTTCTGTGTGCTCTGTAGGTCTGTAACATCGTAGCAGGCCAGCGCTGTATCAAGAAACTGACTGACAACCAGACATCCACCATGATCAAAGCTACAGCTCGCTCAGCCCCTGACAGACAGGAAGAGATCAGCAGACTGGTGAGTGCTGTTTCCCTCTTGGGGTAGCAGTAAGAATAGCAACTGGAGCAGCTAGTACTTACATTTTTCCCTAAGGACTTATTGTTTTTGAGTTGTAGCCTTTGATCTGAACTCAGTCTTTCCTAAATGCTGAATAAGAGAAAATTTGATAAAATAAACCACAGTACAAATCTGCATTACAACTGTTTTATGTTTTGTTCTTTCTCATTCTTCTCCTTTATTTCTCCTCCCTTCCCAGGTCAAAAGTAACAGCATGGTCGGGGGTCCGGACCCTTACCTGAAGGAATTTGGCATTGTTGTGCACAATGACATGACAGAAGTGACGGGGCGTGTCCTCCCAGCGCCCATGCTGCAGTATGGGGGCCGGGTGAGTACAGACACAGGGCGGGACTGTGGCAGGGTGAGTACTGGGCAGGGGCTGCACTCTGGGGGCGCACGCCTGATGGGGATCGCACAGGGTGGGGGGGCATCACAGAATGAATGGTGGGATAAGGGGGGGGGAGATCCAGGTCTGCCGAGGTTGCTCATCGGAAGGGCGAGAGAATTTGTATTGTGATTTAATTTTGATAATTTAATTGAACAGTGGATTGAATATTAAAGTACTTTATTAAAAACTAAAAACTGCCATATTATCTTTGTAAAAACCATTACCTCAAAGAGTAGAGTTGCAAAGTGGGAGAGACGCCCTTGGTTCTGGAGGCAAAGTCACTCTTATTTTCTTCATAGACACCATGAGGTGACTGATAGTTGGAGCACTTCTACGGCTTTTGTGGACATCAGATTCCCCTGATTGAATCATCAGTACAAATTAGAGCTGTGAATTGTTTTAGAAATTATCTGGTTTCTTTAGCTGTAAAACAGATGTTGACAAAGTTTTACCTTGGTGACATTAACTGCAGTAGAAAAAAGATGATAATACGAGTGATCACACCCCTACAGAATAGTAAAAAGCACCTACAGAACCAGCGTCTCCTGATTTTCAACCTCCATATACAAACCGGTCAGTGAATTGGTCCTGCAAGTTTTAACTGCCGCTCATAATTCAGGTATGGAATGGATACACTCCCCTACAAAGGCAAAAGACCGTAACCCACCAGAGTGTGAAACTGAGAAAAATTACTTTAAAGTTATTTTGTTGTCCCGCCAAATGAGTTGTAGGTACAACACTGGACATTTGGCATTTTGTTGTTTTATAAATGAAGTTATTTATCCACCAAAAAATTGTAAGCTTAAACTTGATCTTTGACCCTTATTTGGAAGTTACTGTATTCTGCCTTTGCATTGTCTGCAGAACAATAATGGATCATACAAAGGCAAAAGACCTTAACTTCTATTTTATTGCCCATTTGGATTTTTATCACTTTGTATAATATTTTCCTGTGATAACAATGATAACCTTTAAACTAAAATTTAGTAATTTTTGTCTCGTTAGGCTTAATATTACATAAATAGAATATTAAAAATAAAAAATAATGAGCATTTGAAGGTTGCAACAGTACATTACTGGATCATTTTAAAACCTCACCATTGTACTAATTTGAAATAAAATAACACTTTACCTCCCTCCTATTTCTTACATTTGAAAGTTACAGCTGATTTGGCTATGCCAGTAATATGTAGCAATGCCCTTTGTTAAATATACTTGTTAAGTACACTTTATTGAAGTGTTGAAGGTGTGTGTCAGAAGTGCTTCAATCACATATACATAGGCATAACACCGTAACTCCAGCGCGGTAAGCAGTAACTTCACTTTGGTGCTTGGCAAAACAAAGGCAGAGTACCATAACTTAATTTGCGCATTCTAGAGTGCCGCGGAACAAAAGCAAAGAACCGCAACTGATGTTAAGGGCTTCTGCCTTGGCTTTCCCCCGGCTTTTGGAAGTTACGGCAAAAACAACATCTTATTTTTTCCAAAAAACAACAAAATTGACTCAAGATATTTGTCCACATGATAAAACTGATGTTTATTGTTCCAAAAATGACAATAACTCATTTTTGCCAAAATTGAAGGTAAGGCCTTGTGCCTTTGCACGGCAGTACAGTATTCAATGTAAAGACATGGAGACCTGTAAGACCTGGAACTTGCCCTGTGTTAAAATCCTGTGGCACATCTCTGCAGTCTGCTGAGTGCATCTCTTTAAATACTCTTTCCCTTCACTGACAGAGCTTCTACATGTGTAAATCAGAGACGAGGGCTCAGGTTTTCACCAGTTGCATTCAGTAGTGTCTTTGAAAGTGAAGGGATGGAGATGATGAGGAGAGGTTGCTGCAGACTGCCGAGACTCACCCACTGAATCTCGGATCAGCATTTCCAATCCAGCTTGTCAACAGTAGATATAACTGAAAGCAAGAAATCAGCCTTTACTTCCTGGTTGTTAGACACGAGATGCTGATGGGGATTCAAGGATTGTATGTAAGGGGGGGAAGAATGGATGTGCTGCCAACAGGAGGACGATAAGACTCGTAACCACCCAGCATTGAAGTCTGAAAGATTCCTCTTTTAAGCCTGCTTGACTTTATCTCCCATCTGAAAATGAAAAGGTTCCTATAAAAACTAAAGGTGCTGGAACATAAACCCTCATTCAGAGGCAGTGTTCAATGATTCTGCTAAGATAAGATGAAAATTTAATGATCCCCATGGGGAAATTGGTTCAGTGTATGGGCCAGCTTTTTCTCTTCTACTCTCTGCTTCATTTACTATTGTTCTTTACAAAATTACAGTAGATTGTTGCTTATATTCCAGTGCCAAGCTTAAATCCAACTATTGGCAGCCTGAACTATACGTTGGTTAATTTACCCAAGATCCTATCACAACACTCTATAGGCTTGGCCACTTGCCTGCTGGGATATCGAGTCTAATCGGCTTCCAGTGAAATGCCTTTAAATGTAGACTGAAAGCTTTTCCCATTTCTGTGAACACTTGGTGTGAATGAAACACACATCTTTCTTTTTAAAATGGCATGCTGATGTTGGCGGACATAGAGTTGCATCAAAGTATTCACAGAAACAAAAATGAATACTCTGTGAAGCAACTGTATGTACAGCGTGAGAGATGGGAGAAGCAGCAGTCTTTTTCCTGTGTAACATGCACTTACCTGTAATCATTTCATGTAGTTTTTAAATCCTGAAACTTCATGTCGAATATACTTTTGAGACAGTGTAATGAGATGGAGAAGCTTTTAACTTTTCTTGGCACCCAACTCAGGATGTTCATTGTGGGCACTTGTTTTGGAGAATAAAAGCTCTTAATGGCCTTTGGCAAATCTTGTTAACTTAATTGAAAGCCACTGCCCTTTTGAATTTGTATTCACAACCACACTCAAACCTAATGACATGTCTTCAAATAGATACACTGCTCTTGTTCATGTCAGGACTCCTGATATGGGAAAGCAGGATATTTATGTGCAATGATGAAATGAACATTTCTCTCCTCTAAACAAGTCTCACAGTGCTTGACATCCTAAAGTAAAACCAGTTTGAAGCCTTTCAATGTGTGTATAATATTTTGATTTGTGTCAAGTGTAGCTAGCAATGTAAAGTGTCTGTGGGGCAGCTGAGTGGGCTTTTAATGCATTCTGTCTGAATATGAGAGGTAAATCAAAGTGTGGGTGTGGACTGTGGTACCTTTTGTATTGGCTCATCCAACCGGGGGGTTGACTAAGAGAGTAGGGACTCTCTCCGCAGAACAAAACTGTGGCCACGCCCAACCAGGGCGTGTGGGACATGCGAGGGAAGCAGTTCTACGCAGGCATCGAGATCAAGGTCTGGGCTGTGGCCTGCTTCGCCCCACAGAAACAGTGTCGAGAGGACCTGCTGAAGTGAGTCATGGTGACAACTGTTGTGCTGTCAGTCAAGACCACCAAAAATGAGAGGAAGTCATCGCCAATATTAGAGTGTATCGAGATGGACAAGTCCAAATTTTTAAGGGTCTGACCTCTTGTCCACATGTACAGGAGAATATTTGAAAATGTAGCAATTTCTAATGCCTTTTTTGTCACTGAAAATTGACTTTTTGTATAACTAAAATGAAAAAGTGAAGATTTTCAGTGTCCCTGTTTTTAGTTTTGGCTTTTAACATCAGAGTGTACCGTTATCTCCTTTGTGAGGCATCACAAATGGGGTGACATTTCATGCAATGGCAGATGTGACGAAAATAGTGCTGTCTTTAGTCTTGTAAACAGGGAATTTTTATATGTTTACACAGAACTGTACAGTTAGTCCTCCACTACATTGAGGAACAGAGTTCAGGTAGCCTTCCGGTAATAGCTTTTTTAAGGCTTCTGATTGGCCAACATCATTGTCTTCTTTGTGTGGCTTGTGCTTCAGTTGTTTTTATGTTTTCATTTGGATGGAGATTTCTTTATAACAGTGTGTGTGTAAACAGGAATAACCCCTTTTTCAAAAATACCTGTTTCCGTGTGGACTAGGCCCAAGTGAAGACCAAAACCAGACCAGTGGGAGTCTCACGCTGAGTTATACTTAAAATAAAAACGTGGAACATGCAAACCACAGGCATGCCTCAAATTAATCTGAAAGATCCATTCCCACAGAAAAGAAATGAAGAGTCATTTTAGGTAGCCAGATTTTTTAACCGAAGCTGTGACTGACATCTTTCAGACAGCCACAGCTTCTTCCTCTGTCTCCCGCTTTCACTTTCTTGGAGCATGAGTGAAGGAGGTCAGGGAGGGTTGACAGCAGTTAACAGCAACAAAAATGTCAAATTTGAAGTCAAGTTGTTGATCTCATTTAAAGCAGGTAGTTTTGCATCCGGTTACAGTAGTTATGTGAACAAATACGTCAGTTGATGGGGAGTAACTCTTAAGTTCCAACCTGCATTTACAGTGCTCTTGTGTACACTTAATAAATGTATTTCTCCTTGCTACATTGAATTTTGTCACAAGTTTTCAGCTTATACTGCTGATTTCTGATGAACATTTTATGCTTTGCAATAGGAGCTTCACTGACCAGCTGCGAAAGATCTCAAAGGATGCTGGGATGCCCATTCAAGGCCAGCCATGTTTCTGTAAATACGCCCAAGGAGCTGACAGTGTGGAGCCCATGTTCAAACACCTCAAGATGTCTTATGTAGGTCTGCAGCTGATCGTGGTTATCCTGCCTGGCAAAACACCAGTCTATGGTGAGAAATTTAAGGTCACTTTTTTTTTTTTAGATATAAGGAGGGTTTCATATGAGGGAATCCCACTTTTATTTTTTCATATTCCGAAGGCAATTGATCAGTTTTTAAAAACATTTTTTGTGATATTTATTTCTGTTCAGCTGAAGTAAAGCGGGTGGGCGACACCCTCCTGGGCATGGCAACCCAGTGTGTGCAAGTGAAGAACGTAGTGAAGACGTCCCCTCAGACCCTCTCCAACCTGTGCCTCAAGATCAACGCCAAGCTGGGAGGAATCAACAACGTCCTGGTGCCTCATCAGAGGTCAGCACTGATTTTAGTCATTTCTTCATTGCAGTCCAGATGGGAGTCTGGAATGCTTTTTGGCTTTCAACGTTAGATTGTTCAGATGCTTTCTGAATACAAATAGTCCTCCTGTAATCATGTGGTAAAGAGCAATCCAAGTTAATCATTTTCATGGAAATTAAGCTGCTCTTGGCAATTATTTCATCTGGTGCTTCAATTCCTAGAATCTTGAGGAATGTAATGACTTTTTTTTCATAGGCTGTTCATGGTTAAGAAATTTAACAACATGATGCCAAGTTTTGTTTCTCTTGTGTGTCCTGTTTTTGCTTTAGGCCCTCTGTGTTCCAGCAGCCTGTCATCTTCCTGGGTGCGGATGTCACACATCCTCCAGCAGGTGATGGGAAAAAGCCGTCCATTGCGGCGGTGGTGGGCAGCATGGATGGCCACCCCAGCCGATACTGCGCCACAGTGCGAGTCCAGACGTCTAGACAAGACATGTCCCAGGTAATCATAGTGAAAGTGACATTTTAATTTGCATGTCATTGACAAACTTCTCATATTAATTGAGTAATTCCTGTAAATCAGTCTGTTTTATCTGAGTTTGAGTTCACTGTGCCACCATGTTACAATCAGTTTCTGTTTTTAAGTTTCACACTTTATTAACAGTGCCCCTCCCCTCCGCCTGTCCAGGAGCAGCTCTTCAGTCAGGAGGTAATCCAAGACTTAACCAATATGGTGCGCGAACTGCTCATCCAGTTCTACAAGTCCACGCGCTTCAAGCCCACGCGAATCATTTATTATCGTGGTGGTGTGTCTGAGGGACAAATGAAACAGGTAAGAGATTTTCACCAGCTATTTTCACGCTTGTCTCCAGTTTATTTCCACCACTTTTTTTGTCATGCGGGTCCCAAGTGTGATTTACTAGGCAGGAATGGCAGCTGTGATTCATTTTGAGCGGAGGCTGTCGAAATCTTAATATAAAGATGACACATCACTTCAGTCCAAAAATGGTGACCAGGGGCCTCATGACAGAAAAATATTCTAACTGCTTGTCATATTTCAGCTTAAGTTTCAACAATAGGCAAAATTCTATCCTCCAATTACAGAAGCAATCCCTAAACTCATGGCTGTGTCCTGTCTTAGACCTTCAGGCTTATCTTAACTTAAGAAATACTAACTGCAGCTGTAAGTTTGATTCTTCAGCCGGCACTCATCCTGTCATGCTTGATCTATGGAGCAGCTGAAAGGCACCAATTACAATGTTATATATCAGTATACCAGAATATATACATCTATTAATACACGGTCTGGGAAATCTTAAACATCATCATTTGATTTGAGTAGCCTTTCAATCATTATATTTTGGTGGTCATGTTGTTCGCCACCTAAATGTCATTGCTATACAAGACAGGTGCTTACCCCGAGGAGCTGCATGTGAGAACACAAATGTCCGCATCAGTTGGATGGGACATTGAGCAGACTTTATCCTGTCAGCTCCCCCAGAACAAAGTCTGTGTAATGTCCGATAGCGCCCATGTGTGAATATTGTTAGCAATTGTCTGGAGAACTCACAGCAAGCGAGTGGGGGTGTTGATGATGTTTCTTTCATGCAATTGTGCGAAACTGGAAGAAAACGAACTTCCAAGGGTGAAGAAAAGGGGTCCTGTACATGAAGATGGCAACGAATATTTAACTGGAGAGATTTGGGAATAATGGTCGATGAGAGCCGAAACCGAAATAGTTCGACAAATTCAAGGAACCGCAATAGACTTGTTTATGACCAAATTACGTATCGGCTACGTGACTGCAGTGTAATCCACACTCTCTACACAGGGGCCACCCTTTGCCCTAACCAAATAGAGTACTTTAAGTAGATGAGAATGCTTCTGATATAGACTGTCTTGTTCTGTGCTGCATGTGCAAAACAAGTTGCATAGTATACCTTTTAAGTGTGCGTGTGTCGTTTTTTCTATTTCCAGGTGGCGTGGCCGGAGCTGATAGCAATCAGGAAGGCCTGTATCAGTCTGGAGGAGGATTACAGGCCGGGCATTACTTATATTGTGGTTCAGAAACGTCACCACACTCGTTTGTTCTGCTCCGACAAAGCTGAGAGGGTCAGTAGAAGTTCACCCTACTCTTTCTATTGTACAACACTGTCTTGTGTGAGTCTTAACTATAACCTTAATTGATCACCTGCTGCAGGTTGGGAAGAGCGGTAATGTCCCAGCAGGCACCACGGTGGACAGCACCATCACACACCCGTCCGAGTTCGACTTCTACTTGTGCAGCCATGCTGGGATTCAGGTGAATTATAAACACTCACACACTTGAGATTTTCACAACAGAAAAGCTGTGTGCTAAATTTCATAACAAATCTAAAGCAACTTTTGTGTCGCATCAGTTTTCTAAGTCTCTCTTGCAATTTTTGAAATGGATTTGGCACATTCATTCACAAAAAATTAAATTATGGTTACAGCTCCTTATTTCAGTGGAAGTAGTCTTCAAGGGTACAGCAATTTTGCTGTGTGGTTGCAACAGTAATCATGCTTAATCATAATGAACGACATGATTTGGATGCTTCTTTGACCCATCAGATGATTTGGCTGTTATTTAAAGTGACACACCACAAACCGTCTCTTCATTCATCAACACTTGTCCCCTGTACATCGGAAAGATAGCTGGAAGATGAGGCTGCACATTGCACATTGCAGCTTTTGCTTCTGTCCTAGATCACTTACTGGCGAGCCTGATGCTGCACTTCTATTAACCTACAGGCTTTCTTGTATACAAATAGACCGACAAACATGCCTCAGGCTGGTTTGTCAGTTTAGCCAAAGAGTGAGCTAGTAGAGAGTGTGCAAACCATCTCAACTGCTCACAAGATTTATGCAACTGTATGTAAGTTTTGAGGCAGAAGCAGTGTATTTAACTGGTGTGTTTTACTGGAAAGTGTAAATTAAAACAATTAATCTTGCACTGTATCTGAGAAGAACTACAGCGTGAGTCTAATTCTGGAGTTTTTCTATGTCACCAAATAAACATAGCGCACTTTATCACATTACATAAAATTATGAGTACAGTATTAAAATGTAACGTGTTGCGTCCCATCTCTCCTCAGGGAACCAGTCGTCCCTCCCACTACCACGTCCTGTGGGATGACAACTGTTTCACTGCTGACGAACTGCAGCTCCTCACCTACCAGCTGTGCCACACCTACGTCCGCTGCACGCGCTCCGTCTCCATCCCAGCACCAGCCTACTACGCCAGGCTAGTGGCTTTCCGAGCCCGCTACCACCTGGTGGACAAAGACCATGACAGGTGATGCAGCCGTGGATATCTGTGGTCCTAGTTGAAGAAAGAGAGTTTATTAAAGGGACAGGTCAGGTTTTTTGAAGTGGGGTTGCATGAGGTACGTATCCATAGTCAGTGTATGACCTACAGCAGATGTGGAGCACGCCCCCAGTTTGGAGAACCGGGAAAAAGTACTGACATGGAAGCCAAGCAATGTAATGCTGTAAAAAAATTGAATATGAATGTGGAGAGACATGAATGTAAACTGCAGCTTGACTGGTTCATACAGTCATAAAACCGCAAGGCTGTAATTCTAGTTGTGATGTGAAATCATTCCTGACCGTCAAAGTAAACTCTGCCTTTTTTCTCTATCTTACAGTGCTGAAGGAAGCCACGTGTCGGGCCAGAGTAACGGCCGGGACCCCCAGGCATTGGCCAAGGCAGTTCAGATCCACTATGATACCCAGCACACCATGTACTTCGCCTGAGCTAGCGAGCACGTCAGCCAGTCCACCCGCGGATTCCCTTTCTTTCTGTCTTTTTATCTCTTATTTGCCAGTCTCTCTCTCTCTCTTCTTCTCCTTCTCCCACATCTCTCTCTCTTTGTAGTCTGTCTCTTCCTCTTCACACTCACTCTACATTTTCTGAATCTGCACCAAAGCGGCTCTCGGACAGGGGGAATCTGCTGTGTCTCGATGTCCAGCAGGTTTTTATTTCAAGGAACAATCTCCAACCAGCGTTCCCAATCGAGCCGCCTCTCAAACCAGCAATCCAGCACTGCGAACCCTGAGGGTTTCCAATGCACAAAAGGAAAAGAAAAAAAAAAAAAACACGAAAAAACAAAAACAAACCATACACACACATTCTACAAGTTGAGCCATTATTTTGCGTTTGTTTTTGTTTTTTCTATTTGAATGTCTGCACTCTTGTGTTTGTAAGATACACTGAGCAAGGGAGTGGACTGGCACTATCTGTGTCAGCGCAGCTCTTTAGCTCTCCCAGCTAAGCAGGACTCTTATCTACTTTTACCTCAAAGCCCCTTTGGGCAAAATCTGTCACAAGGTCTTGGGTTTATTGGGTGGTTGGGAGGGAACTCTACATGAAAAGAGATGGAGGGGGAGTCGACCTTTTGAGAATGATATATATATATATTTTTTTCCTTTTTATGAGCGTGTGTTTTAACTTTTTCTCCTTTACGGTCTTTAACAAGCGAGGTGACCTGGGTGTCCATGCCCATTACTATTTTCCTCCCATCTTAGCGACGAATACGCAAGTCTGTCTGTGTGCGAGTGTGTCTGTGTGTGCATCTCTGTATATACATGTACTGCTGTATGAGAGTGTGTTTGTGTGTGAATGTGTGTATCATGGCAGGCCACTGAATTGTAAAGGGAAATCATGGAGATAACTGCTGTAAATGACTCAGATTTGTTGTTTTTATATTCACACATACAGTACATATAAGCATATATTTACATCTATAGAGCAACTTTGAGACATATGACTTAAACAAGCCTCATTGAGGCTGGTGTGGGTATTTGTAGCAGCCCTGGGTCACTTGTTAGTTGAAGTGCTTTGAGTTGCATTTTGACCACGCGTGTTAGCGTTCTGCTAGTGCATGATGGGTGGGATTTGCACCTTGTGGAGCCAGCTGCTCCTTTTGTGCTGCTAAACATCACTGAATCCCAAGAAAGGTAACTTATTCCATTTCAAGTAGCAAGTGAAGTCAGGTCTGACTGTGTAGCAGTGGTAACCGTGGTCTGGCCTGTGACTGGCTCAGCATTGGGACCTGTTGAATGGCTGAAGGCATTAAACGCAGAGTATGGTCTTTATCAGCCTTGCTGTCTGTGTGAAGAGCAGGATCTTATTTTTCTTTGGACCTGATTATCTGAAAGATTATATGATGACACTGCTGGACGTTGCTTTTTTTTTTTTTTTTGTAGAATTAGTATCAAGGGCCGGAAACCAACATAGTTTTTGAGGTCTCCTTTGCTAATATTGGCCAATTCATTGCACTGACCCGGGACGCTAGGCAAGCAACAGAGGGCACTCTCAATCTCTCTTTACCTTTATGCATTTATACATACGAATCAACAAAGCAGATTTGTAAAAGTTTAATATAAGATGTTTTGTGGTTATCTTAAAAAAACAACTCTTGTTTAGAATTAGTAGTTTACCATTGATGTTGTTGTTGTTGTTATCGTTGTTGTCAATGTTGTTACTATTGTGATGAAATTTTATGGTCGGCAGCAAAGCCAGTTATATAGTTACTAGTGCAACTTCAGGAATAGACTTCAGTTGTTGAGCTGCAGGTTAGAGGATAGAGCTTTGGGTTGGAAAATTCTTTTGTAGCATTCTGGCTAACGGTGAGAAGAAGTAGGCCCCAGGATGGATGAATTCATGCTTCCTCTGTAGGTTCTGATGTGAGTAAAAGTTAGCGGCAGATTTGAGGTATTGTGTAGCACTCCGACTGGTTAAAAACAGATCTGCCGCTGCAAACATCGCTCAGCTGGTGTTGGTTGGTTTTGATGGGACAGATGGAGACAATCAGGGAATGTAATCAGAATGAACATAGGCTGAGGGATTTGTTTAAAAACCGGTTTGCGATAGGCAATGAGTTGAATTTTTAGACTTTTTAAAAATGGTTTCTATTACTCTGTGTGTATTTGAAGTATACCCAATTTAAAGTATCTGCTATTTGACGGTGTTTGTTTCATATTTTTATGCATTTTTAACACTGGATTAAATGAATTGACAATAAGCATAAGCACTGCCCTTGGACCCCCCGTACAAACACTTGGCAGACTGGTACCATGGGAACTGTAATGACATCAGTGGTGTGCCCGTGGTGACAGTTTCTCATGTGGTCCCCCCCCGGTGTTGCGGTTGGATTAAGATGTAGGACAGGAGAGTTTGAAGAAACAGTCGACGTGCACGCCTCATCAGGAGGGGACCGCTCAGCGAAAACTCTTTTGTAATAAACCACCCTTAAAGCAGCAGGTTTACTATGAATGAGTTTGAGCACCTGCCTGTTGAAGGCGTGGGCGTTGGCGTCAGCCAGGAGCAGAGAAGCAGGAAATGAGGAGGGCTGGTCGTGGGGGAGGGGTTGGGAGGGTGTCGTCCAGGCATTGCATGCAATAAGTTTTACTATTTGTTTGAACGGGGCAGAACGGTTTTAAAAACGTGCACTAGTTTTACCAAGCCAAGTGGGCTGTGATTGAATATTCAACTGGCATCTGTAACGGGGAATGATTTGACGCTTTAAATCCTTGACTATATTTGATCAATAACCTCCAGTCAGACAAGTGATCACTCCCTGTTTGTAACATGACATTGCAAAGCAATATTAACCCAGTTCTAGTTTTCAAATGTGGAAAAACAAAGCTATAATTCTACTCATTGTGGTTGTTGGTCTCTCGCTATTGTGTATCTGTACTTTTATTTTTTTATTTTTTTGTTTATTTTATTTGCTTGTATCAATCAGTGGGAATGTGCATTTGGTGGAATAGTTATGTAGGCTTTAGACAATTTTCTTTAAAGTAACAAAATATAGACTTTGCTCGCCTGCATGCCAGAGTATTGTCCTTTAAAAAAAAAAAAAAAGAAAAAACTTTTTTGGAATCATATTTATTATGAGAAAGAAAAAATATAAACACTTTTTTGGGGGTAAATGTTTATTGATTTAGTGGGACTGTTTTAGGCTAGCAATATTTGTCCAGTCTCTCTAAGATGCATTTTAAAGATTCCTACACAAACGTCAGTAATTCGGGAGGTACAAGCTGTTTTCAGAGGCGAGGGGGCCCTGCTCTTTGCGTCGTGTTCAAATTCAAACGAGGTACTTTCTTCAAACGTGGACCCGTTAAAGACCGAACCCCTCTCCTCTTTGCTAGGTTACTTCAGCGAGCATCCGTTTTGTCTCCTCGTTCCTGGTTTGTACCTGTGGCCACACCTCTTGGCGGGGGCTCTCCTGTCTCCATGGCAACTCTGCTGACCCCTCACAAATGCACTTCCTCTTTGTGAAGGGGTCCCCATGGCATCAAGGGAGCAGGATTACCTCTTTTTAACCTTTTTAAAAAAAAAAAAAAAAAAACGATCCATAACTCTGTCCGTGCCCCGATAGAGAGCATGAATTATTTTTAAATTCCTCTCACTTTGATATATTGTTATATCTTAACGGATTTGTAATTTGACATTGTGTATTGCGTATTTTAATTTTATTTTTTTGTTTTTTCCTTTTTTTTTTGGTTCCTTTTTTTCAGGGTTTGTTATAGCTCTGCTCTGTTTCTCTTTTTTCTGCTAGTGGTCTCTGAAGCTGTGTGTGATTGTCTCATAGCAATAGAATCATAGAATTGGAACATTCCAATTCCGTGAATGGAACGCTCCGATTCTGTGAATGAACGGAACCCTTTCTGACCAGATGTGAGAGGGCGGGGCATGTTCTGGCTCCGCCCCTATAGCAGAGGGCCATTCACTCGCTGTTATTGCTATTTTGTGACATGTTCAAATACATTTTTTTTTTTTTTTTTAGCCTGCAGGGAATTCTTGTGTTAATGTGCAAAGTAATAAATTGGTATTTTATGCCTATAATGTAGCTGGTGTGTTCTCATCATTAATGACAGATGGCATTTTGCGCTATTGAAAATGGGTTTTTATAGTATCATTTACAGAGCTAGTTAACACCAAGGTGTTTATGTGCATGCATTTTGTCACTAGATGGCATTCTTTACCAAGGTAATGAGTTAACATGATTACTGAGAACAGTGAAACATTTATGATCTATCCATTGTTACCTCAATGGTCTTGTACAACAGCTTAATGAAGATATCTTATTTTCTTACAACCTCTGATCTTGCCATGTTTTTAACCAGTCTTTTCAAGTGTAAAGAACAGCTACTGGGACAGTGTATGGGCCTGAGGATCTATGTCCTTTATTACACTACCCTAAAATACTTAATGTACTGTAGCTCAGGATCTAACCTGAACATGTAGAACATCAAAAAAAGTATTCATGTAGCTGGTAAGTAGTTTGGTAGCTTTAACTGTAAAAATGTATGTGTTAGGGTTAGGGTTAGCCTAACCTAACCCTAACCCATTCATTTATCAACATCCTGACAGGTACACGGGCAAAATATAGAAAGGAATGGGCTCTCCTGTGTTCCTTAATATTACATGTCTTCAGCATCCTCAGAATCAACATCCAGCTTATTACCAAGAGTTTTGGGGCAGAACATAAACTAAAGACAAAATGAATTTATTAATAAAAGCAAGTGCTGCAAAAATCAAATGAAGAAAATTTCAATAAAAATAAGAAAGCTACTGTAAAAAATTAAGTACCATTTATCTGAATAAGAATAAAAGCTGTGCAGTTTTTAGAAGTGATGGTGTCATCTGTCAGTTTATTAATTAATTTAGATGAGATTACAAGCACTCTGCTTATAGGTGTGGAATCAATCTGGAAAAATGTACTAAGAAAAAATAAATTTGGGGAGGGGGACTTCTGCTTTATCCACAGGGAGAGAGACGGGAACAGCAGGGGAAGGAGGAGGGAGGACATGCAGCAAAGGGCCCGGGCTGGACTCAAACATGGGCCGCTGCAGTATGGACTTATGCACTCTATCCAGAGAGCTACAGCAGTGTCCTCAAAGTAAAGACAAATTTGAGAAAGACCCTGGCAGCTGCAGCTGTGGTTCAAATCAGCTTAAAAGGACCCAAAACCATTATTTACACACAGCATATCAAGAATGTAATATGAAACAGTTAAATAAAAGAGCAAGCTGCTAAAAATGGGCATTTGATTGACAGCTCTAATAAACTTTTTTTTCCCCACTCAGAAATTGTATCTGAGACTTTTCAAATCTATGCGCCAAATGAAAGAATAACATTTAGACATTTAATGTGAAGAATGATGTCATTTAATGTCCGATACAGCCTATATAGCTCATCTTTCCATTGATAGCTATTTGCTAGAATTCAGTGAACCTTGACTGTCAAAACAAATAAGGTTCTACAGCCAATAACGTGTTTATATAGCAGTTATGATGTGTCTTTTCCTCTGTCTACCAAAATGGCACATGGCCTGACAATTTTACACACCACTGCCTGAAATTTACCTGCGTTTGGCAGCTGGTGACCTCGGCAGAATACATTTCAAAAATAGTATTTTATCTCATATTTTTCACAAATATGCATCACTACTTATAAGCAATTCTTGACTTGGTTACCCTTTACAAAAACATTTATAGATAACTTGTCAATCAATTTTCCACTTTCCCTGTGACTCTGGGTACAAAGCAGCTGTGGCTGTTGTGTCAGCTGCACCTCCCTCCCCTCCTGGTACCTCGGGTAAAAGAGGTCATGCAGTCAGCTGGTGTGACCTCTCTGGAATAAAGGCATCCAAGGAATTTTCAATATTTTTGTGTGTAAAATTTCATTAAGCAGGAAAAAAATGTACCCGCTATGTGGTAATATTTCTCTTTATTATGATGATTATAAGGCTGCATGGCATTAATTGTAGTGTAATTTCACTACATCTACATGTGTCTGTTATTCATTCAGCCATCATTGGTATTTGTCACCTTCCTTTTCTCCCCTTTGTGTATCATCCCCTCTACTCTCCCGTTTCCTGTGTCCCGGCTGGTTGTCATGGCCACTGTTACCAAGGATAGCGGAGGCTACAGAAGAAAGGAAACCTGAACCACAGATCTTGATGCCATGATATTTAATTCATTGGCACGATGGCACAACAAGGCTCAGTGTAATGCAGATGGAGCGAGAGCGGTCTTGGGTAGAAGGGAAATGTCTGGATATGGGGACAAAGAGATGCTGTCACATCCTTCTGTTACAGCCAGGGTCTATTTGTTTCAACCTCTCTCTGTTTAATTAACAATATATTGATAATGAGAATAATAAGTCACTGGATATATCATCAGTCTGTTAATATGTCAGTCACAATTTTGTGATATTTGACTGAAAAAAAAAAAGATTAAAGGTGTCAGAATTCAGGGTTTTGTAACTTCCTTTGTCCAGATGACACAATCAGACAACAGACCTCTTTTAAAAACAAAAAAACAAAAAAAAAACCTGTGTATTTCTCCTGTAGCTTTTCAGCATTTTAACCTCAGTCGCTGTTAGAGAAAAAACCCTTTTGTGAAGCTTTCTCTTTCACTGCAGACAAAAAGCTAATTTTTGTGAAAGCTCCTTTAAAATACATGCGAGTTTGTGCTGCACAAAGCAATACAAAGTGTGTAATCCTCATTGTCGAGGCCCCCCCACATGTTGTCTTTGTGTTAACTGATCCACCTATGGCCAGCGCTCCATCCTCGGCCATCCATCCCTCTCTCCTTTTGTTGTCTCACCCTCTTTTGCCCTCTCCCTCCCGCCCTCCCTCCTGCATCGCTGTTTTTTTTTTCTGCCTAGGGTTCAGTGTTGCTCTCGCAGGTTGGACCGTCTACAGCGGTACTGAAGATGGGAGGCAGTGGACAGATGCTCTACTTACCCAGAAGTCTCACTATACGGCCCTGATTTGTTATTTATACCTTGTCTGGAACCAGATTGACCCATTTGGGCTACGTTGCTACCAAAGGAAGCAGTTGGGGGCAGGGTGAAGCCGAGCTGAAGTGGCCTCATCAAGGCTTGGACCCTGGCGCCGTTTATTGTCAACAAGGAGACACTTCAGCTGGCAACAGCAGCAGCGTCTGATGACGAGGTTTGCTGGCTGCTTTTTTGTGATTTAGAGGAACAGATTTGAAGCCTGTCTTGTGCGAAGTTTGATGAGGATTCTTGGAAAAACCTGCTTGAAAAGGTGGCTGGAGTAACCTCTTTTGACTGACTCTTAAACAGCTTGGTGTCCATCTCTACAGGATGTTTGCTCCATTTATTTCAAGAGGACTGAACATTGAATTTCTGTCCAAGAAAGGGTAAAAAGCCACACCAATTTTTTTCCTGTGTAATCAAGCATCACCCTTTTCAACCTTGTCGTGACAGGATACACGCACAGCAGCATCAGTGGCCTTGAATCCGGGTATCAGGTTATATCAGTCTGATCCATCTAGGTAAGGCTACACCATACCGGGAGTGTGACACTGAAATACGCTGCAGCTCAACAATTGGCTTTCTGGATTTGAACCAGAGCTGAAGGCAAAGAAACACTTCAACCAAAAAGGGAAAAAAAAAGACCTGGCTGAGATCCATTTCATCCACAAGGCCTGGAGACTGCGGAGCCTGATCGATCCTGCTACTGCGGGCTGCCACAGGTGGCTGCACAGCTATCAGCTGCTCAATAATGCATTGACTCAAACTGAGGAATGAAAAGAAGGAGAAAGTGCCTCTGATCCTCTGAAAAGGTGGATGACTGTCGAGGGAAAGCAAGTGATTACTTCTGGGCAACGGCGAATTGAGGGCACGTGGAAGTGAAAAGTGAGCAGATGTTGAAGAGGAAAAGAAAAAGAGAAGAAAATGGATGCTGATAAAGTGGCATTGGGGCAAAGACCGTAGGAAGCCTGACAGGAAGGGAACAAGTGAACAGAAGGACTTTTAAGGCAACGAACAAGGAAAACAAACGAGGCAACTTTTACAGACAAAGGTGAACCAGTAATTCATCAGACATTGGTCTAAAACAGTGCTGTCATCATGGTGAACACTGGCATGCAGCTGATCAGCTTCACGTGTGCGGTGACTGGCTGGATCATGGCGATCGCCGTCACGGCCTTGCCTCAGTGGAAGGTCTCAGCCTTCATCGGCAGCAACATTCTGACCTCAGAGATCAAGTGGGAAGGCATCTGGATGAACTGTATCTACCAGACCACTGGCCACATGCAGTGTAAGACATACGACTCCATGCTGGCCTTGCCTCCAGACATCCAGGCGGCCCGCGCCCTCATGTGTCTGGCCATCTTCATGGGCTGGCTGTCCTGCACCGTGTCCTGCTGCGGCATGAAGTGCACCACCTGTGCCGGCGACGACCGCCGGGCCAAGGCGGGCATCGCACTCTCAGGCGGGGTTCTCTTCATTCTGACAGGTCTGTGTGTGCTGATTCCAGTTTCCTGGACTGCCAACACCGTGGTCCAGGATTTCTACAACCCCAATGTGCCGCTGATGCACAAAAGAGAGCTGGGGCAGGCTATTTATCTGGGCTGGGCTTCTGCGGTTATTCTCATGATCAGCGGAGCTGTGTTGAGCAGCACCTGCCCCCTCATGGAGAGGGGCGGCAGGTACCGCAGGGGCTACATAGGCCGAAGCTTTGCTAATTCACCCGCTTCAGCGCCAGATCCCCCAAAACCTATCACGTCTAACAGTGTACCATTAAAGGAGTATGTGTAGGAAGTGGAGGAAGGAACAGCAGCAGGTGGAGACGAAGGAGGTTAAACTCTGGTTCTTTCCTACATTTACCTTCTCAAGGTTTAAGTCTGTGAATTTTAAGCTATAAATTTAAATATATATTTATTAATATATTCACCTTATATATTTTTTGTATATCTCTTTGTAATGTTTAACTTGTCTTTGGTACTTTGACTTTTGTTTGAAGTTTTATTGCACTGTGATTCATGGTAGTGCCTGAAAAAAGCCCATTGCCTATATTGTCAAATCAAAAAGGATGACTGTTATGATGGCTTTAATGATGGCTCATGTTGTGAAGATTGCGGTGATTTCTTAAGCAGTTATTCTCTGACAGTGTCATTACCTCTCCATTTGTCACATAAAGCCTCTGAGTGTGCCTACACTGGAAGTGTGAAATAAAACAAGCTTCTTACAGCGTGCTTCTCTAACTATGTTTTGCAGTGGTCTTCATCCTTGTGTGAGTGCAGGTTTGTTTCTGAAAAATACAATTTGTTCGAGCCATTTTCACACCACAGACAGCAATACTGTCAGTCAAGTATAATATGACACTACAGGGTCCTTTTGTGGAAAAAAAGTCAATGTTGTAATTTCCTCTTCATCTTTAATTACCATACAAAGTCTGGTCCATGCACACACTTCTCATCCGAGACAGGGCTCAAAACACCACGTGCATATGGACATTAGTGCATGTCAAATGTGAGCTGTGTACGTAATTTTCAGCTGTACATGCACTGGTACACATACCATGGTTTAGAAAATACGTTGCACAGGGCACTCACTGTAAAACTCTTGCAACTGACACTTTTCACGAGCTGTCATGCCACACGTTCATTTTCTCATGCAATGAAAAACATATTTATAACTGACAATACTGTGACGCAAAAAAAAGGACACTGACAGCACATGGACAGACAAGAAAGAGCTGCAGTGCAACAGCAGCATATAAAACACTGCAGTCAAACCTACTGCTGCTTGGATTTCTTTGAATTTTAAAACTCTCATAAATTAAATGAATAAATCTTCCTTCAGAGGTTTGCTGAAATTGTCAGTGCAGTCCTATTCAGGATGACCCTGACTATGACCATGTATAAATTGTATTTATTTTATAGTTAGTTATTTTACGGTACATTTTTTGAAAAAATTAAAAGGTTAAGTCAGCTCAAATTACATTATAAAACATCGTCATACTTGAACTGTCACAAAAAAGAAAATGCTGCAGCAGTCCACAATGGATTTCTTTCTATGGATCCAGCAGTTGCCATGGCAGACGTGTTGGGAAAGAAGATTAATACACCCAGTGGTCCAGTAAGAAAAAATTGGGTGCCGGTAAAAAAAAAAATTGGTGCATGTAATTTTAAAAGTTACACACATCAGTGCACTGAAAAAAAAAACTTTTTAGCCTGCAAGAACATGTCCAGGTACATTTATATGATCCAGTCCATTACCGTCTATCTGAGGTATATATGTATGTTTTCTCAGTACTCGTTTCACAATCCCAATCTTGTCTTCCAGCCTGTTTGGGAAACCGTCTGATTCAGAGGGTGGTCAGAGTCCCTTCATGTTGCTTCTGCTCTCATCATTGGCACTCAATAAAGAAGGACACTTTGCAAAGTATATCTGAAAGCAGACAGAGACATAATTAGTTGACCTGCAAATCTTCATCACCCCCACTACTATCACTGACCGTAAATAAAACAACAGCTATTAGAGATTTGGCTGAGTGCTGGTCTCGAGTCAGCTTGTACTAAAGCATAAATTATGTATACTGACATTAGACCAAATCAAATGGCTTTCACAGGGTAGGTTAAAAGTTTTCCTGTTCTTTTTAAAACATTTTTTACATTTACTGATCCCAGAGTCCTCTTATCGGTCATTAAAAGTTATATTAAAAAAAAAAAATCTGAAAACCTTACCTAAAAGTCATGACTTCATATTTACATGTCAAAAACTGCTATTTTGGGCATTTCTAAAAAAGATTTATGATTCTAAACAAAAGGATGTTGCTGTCAAACTTCATGTTGCGGCTTAAAAAATATCTATACACTTTACAACTTTTACAAGAGAATCATCTATATATGATTAATTAGTTATTATATGCACAGAGCAGACTACACTGACATCATCAACATTAAGACACTTTACCTGTGATGTGGTCTTCTGTACTGGGAGACTCCAAGGATTTCCATCTTTTGGGAGCAGATTCTAAAAGAGAGAGATGATCTGGTCTCAGAGTCTGCAGCAGAGTCTTCCTCCTCAGAAATCTGAACACGTGAGTTAAAGGGAAAAAAAGCCCCAGAACATAATATAACCCAATGCACACATGTACAGAAAAGATACTGTTGTCGATAGTGACGCTCAGCATCCTGCAGCCACTCCAGCATGTCGGAGACTGAGGGGATGGTGGCCGAGCGCTCGGTGACAGTGAGCAGATCCAGACTGTCTGCGTTCTGCTCGTACAGCTGGAAGACCCCAGAGACCTGGTTACTGATAGAATCTCTGACAGACTGGAGAGAACACCTGAAAGATAGATAGTATAGGCGCCACTGTCAAAATCCAAAATCTAGTTGTAAATTCACTCCAAATAAATGTATCTAATAAAAATAATTTAAAAAACTGGCACATAGGGGTGCTGTTTTTTATGGGGCTCTGGGCAGAATATAAAGAGGTTGCCATGAAGACCCTTGTCCATCACGTGCACTGAACTTGCACATGGCATGGTAATGAAAGGCAACAAGATTGGTCACAGGTCAAAAAGAGTGTAGAGAATAAGCAGCAGTGCAGATATCTAAAAGTGACTGATGGTATGCCACTCTTGTTTCAGTGGCATATGCCGATTCAGAGGCACTTACAAATGCTATGTCGTTCATGTTTTGTGTCATAGATACAACCTCCCACTGGCATAGGTGTAGATTTCAGGGGGGATGCTGCGGATGCATTCTCATTTCTATTTAAAACGTACACTTACCCCCAGAATAAAAAAATGAAAGTAGCAGAGGACTTTTATTTTGACCAAGAAAGGCACAAATTAGTGCAGAAAACACCCACACCCTTGCATATACTTACTCTTACTGACACAAACTACATAAGGTCATGACAGGTTGCTACTTTTACAATTTCAGAGGAGTGGTACCTGCATGTAAAACATGAGTGACAGGTTTTTTGTGAATGCTGTAAACCAGTAAAATGGCAGCAGCATATGAATAATCAGTCAGAGTCAGCATATACCACTGAAAAGAGTGGCATGCATATGTGAGAGGATGTCTGACTTTGTACCCTTTACTTTCTTGCATTAAATCAAATGTTAAGTATTTAAAACTCATCAAATTAAACTAATTTAAGTTTTGAGAAAAGCAATAAAAGAGAGGCATGTTTCAATCTTGGTCACATGGATTATGCTGGGGATCAGTTGAGGCCCATAGCTCATATTTGCCCTGAGCCCCTCTAACAGGTGGAGCTGGCCCTGCACTGCTGCTGTTATAATAACTGATTATTAACCTACCATATCAGCTACATGCAAAAAAAAGTCTAACTCCCTGTGCTCCATCCCTGCATTCTTATTTTGTGTTGCAACTCTTCACCCAGCTACTTACATCTTCTCATTGAGTTTGCCAAGCACTGTATCCGTAGCTTGCGAGAGCTTGAAACGCAGCCGCTCCTCCAGGTCAGGGAAGTCTCTGAGCGGTGTGTTGGAGATTTGGACGTTGGAAAGCGCTCGTGACTGCTCCGCCAAGTTCCCGAGAGACACCATGAGAGGGCTGCACTCGGCCAACACACTCGTCCATACTTTCTGATTGTTCTCAAGACTCTGGAAGCTTTTCCTCAGGGCTTGGTGAAGTGAGAGAAGCGGTGCAGGTTTGGACATTTCAGGTGTTGATTTTAGACATTAGTTGACCACGAACTCAAAGCCGCATGTGTGTGATAAACGGATCTTTAAGGTAAAACTATTTCGATCCGTTTTGGTGTAACGGACTCCTTCAATGCGATGTCTGTCAGCCTTTACAATGTAGTAATTTCATGTGCTAACAACATCACATTTCTACCATGTTGCCTGAACGTACTTCCGTCCTCCTGATGTAAACACTGACGTTTGGTGCTACGATTGGTCGAGAACTATTTTTTATGATGCAGAGCAAATGCGCGTTCTAATTGGTCGAGTCAACGTCTGGTCCCTCCCCGCGCGGATATTTGAAAACGGCTTTGTGAAGACGGGAGATAGTGTCGACTCTCCGACGAAGAAAAACGTAATTAGGTAAGTAACTGTTTATAAAATACGTGTCACCGTGGTACAAACGAATTATTTTTTGTTTTATTAAATGTGTGTGCATGTGAAGGAGACTGACAATGAAGCACGTCAGCCAAATTGCGACCGAACAAATGACGTTAGCATTAACTGCTGCTAGCTGCTAACGTTAGTTAGCTTATCGCATGTCGGCAGTTTCTTTTTAAAATGTCGGACGCAGTTATATCCTACACAAAACAAACTGTCTCGTATGTTCAGATGTGGATAAACTGACTTATTTCTCGCTGCCCATCCATGCAGACATGGCTCCCAGGAAGAGGACGACGAAACAACGGAAAAACAATCCAAAGACGGCCAAGCTGGAAGCTTTTCTGGAGGATTTCGACAGCGAAGGTGAATAGAGTTCACCTATTTTTTCGCTACAGTGCCCTCTGGTTACACTTTGTGAAGAAGTGCCCAGTAAAGTGTGCTGTATACAGATGTTTGTTGTTGTTTTATTCTTGTTTCATTTTATTCATTTTTCTGAAGAAGCAACCACACAAACCATAATGGACAGGCCCTTAAAGGATAAAAAAAATGACCAAAATGAAATAAGGCACTGCACTTACACAATGAGAGACACATCATAATGAAATTAAAAGATACTTCTTATATACATTGATCCAATTCATGCCCAGTATCCCCAGTTGTTCACAGTTATTATTAAATCCATACTATATTTAGCTCCCAGAGATTCCAACCTTCAATTTCTGGAGAAAAAGATCAAGTGTCCTACTTTCATCTGAGTCAAAACCTCTGAGATCAGATATAGAAGTAGAAGAAAGACCATCCATAAATGGCTTGTTTGACTTGAGTAGAAATGACCATCAATCCCAGGCAGGCTTACTGTATATTGCTGTGTACACTACCCTTAGGACCATACCATGGTTTGGTATGCAGATTACATAATGTTACAGACAGAATTTATGGGGCGATACAGATATTGACACTGGACACTAGACACTGGTTGAACATACACAAACACAATATACCATTATAACATTGTTAGCAATGAATTGTGACAAGATATGTACTGAGCCGGACAAATAAAGCAGTATCCTCTGTTCAACAAACTGTAATAGCAATAGTGTCTCCACTGACCTTTTGTACTGCAATTTTTTTTGTAATTTACTGGTCAACATATGCTCAAACTGATAAATCTGTAATCAGCAGAAATCAGGTTATAGTATCAAGTTAATTTTTTATTGGATTATTATTACTAATTAAGACTGGGCAACATGGATAAAATCAAATATTGCAATATTTTTGACTAGATGCCTTGATACATATTGATATTGCGTGACAATGTAGGGTTAAATATTGCTGCTTTTACAAAAACTTCACACAATGAGATTTTTTTTTATAGATAATCATAAGTACTGTGGATATAATACCTAAGTGAGTAAAGACAAATAACAATAGAACAGCTGGAACAGTTTGGTAAGTTCAGAAAATTACATCACGTTACTGTAATGCTGCCAGGAAAAGGCAACACTTAAATCTGAGACAATATCTAGTCTCATATCATAATATCAATATATTGTCCAGTCTTGCCAGTAATGCATCATCATGAAAGGGCCATAAACTACTGGGTAGTGTGATCTAAAACTCTTGCTCTGTTTTGACAGTGAAGACCAGAGTTGGACAGCTGAAAGAGAGGATCAACCAGTTGCTGAAAGATGTTGACAACAGCTACAACATGGCAGTAATTAAGCTCCCCAAGGCTGTCAGGCAAATGGCCTGGTTGGAACATTTAAGTGAGTGAACACAAACGTTCTCAGAATAATGAAACCCAAATCCCAATTCTGTGAAGGTTGTTTGAAGAAATGTTGCAACTGGGCCACAGAGACTTGTTCTTGTTACACAGAGTCTGTTACTTGTAAAACAGTTGATCTGCACTGGCACTATGCGTATTGTTTATCCCTTTTAAACACCATCAAATCCCCCCTCTTTTTCTGTAGAGTGTGAGAAACCAAAGTCACCAGAGGTGGATAATATAAAGGTGAGTTGATTATCTTTCTCATAATGTCATGTTGTCTGTCATGATTCACAGTGTGTCACAAGTGTCAGAATCTCTTGGCTTGTGCAGGCACACATACTGTGCTGTACTAAACACTCATTAAGTTCTCGATCGACGTGTCTGTTAACAGAGACAAGAGGAAGCTGCTATCGTTGACAGCGTTGTGGCTGAGGACCACGCAGTCCTTCTGAAATCAGTCAAGAAAAGTATGTTAAAACTACTTTTTGTATTTTCTTTTTGTATTTTCTTATTTTTTAACCAAACAAGTATATTGAAACACTAATGCCGATTCTACGTGGCATCGGCTGAACAAATTTTTTCAATTTGGACAAAAATTTTAGCTTTAAAAAGCTAAAATTTATCAAAATTAATCAACTTTTGAAGTGGATTTCATCCCTGTTTATTTTGTCTCTCATAGCAACAAAGAAAAAAGGTGAAGCCAAATCCGGTCCAGAGGATGAAAACACCCCGAGCACAACAAGGAAGGTAATGTCTGATTTTAATTCACACATGCATTAGAGGAAGAAAACATGGCTGAAGAGTTTGAGAGCATTATTGAATGAACAGAGAAGATGACTGCTATGTAATGTCATTAATGTACTTTCACTTTATGGTGTTTAACTGCTTGTTCCTAATTCAGGGGAAAGCAACAAGGAAGCCCCCGACTACATCAAAAAGAGCAAAGGCGCTGGCAGTCAACAAGCAGAACACCTCCATCAGACGGTGCGACCTTTGTTTCTTTAGCGTTTTGTACACCTTAAGTTCAGTAGCCCAGTAATGTCGTACTAACATGTCTCTATCTGGATTCAGATCGACCAGAAAGCCACTGGTCACTCCTGCCAGGAGTATGCTGGATTCTTCTTTGATGATGGGCCCCACTCCCCTCATCACTCCGCGTTTTGACCCAAGGTGAGTAGCCATTATAGTCACTGCGGCACTATGCTAGTTATTCTGTTAAATTATAGCCACCATTCTCCCTGTTTGTGGAACAAAGGATGGCTGGAGACGGGTTGCCTAGTTGTTGAGGTTAAACTACACCACCCAAATAGAGTGAATAAGAACCTGGCAGCAACATGTGAAACTGTTAAATTGCAAGCAAGAGAATGTTTAACCCAGCAGTGTACTACGTACATCTGCGTGTGCCTTTATGTGCTATATTCAGTATTTAACACTGAGGCAGAAATTCCTGTACTGTTATTACATTAAATCTCAGATTGATCTTTAAAGCACTTGCTCCTTTGCTTTTATAGATCTGATCTGCAAGTGGATTTAGCATCGTTATGTGTTACACATTATGTGGGCACTGGAGACTTGTTCTCACAGCTATCTTGCTCATTTGAAACGCTGCTGTAATGGAGCACCTAGTGCAGTTTTTACTCTCTTGGATCCTCTTTTAAATCAGAAGACATTGCACACAGTGGGGGGTTCATAATACTCACCATTCAATCTAAATTTCCTCAGGCTTCCCAAGACCCCCGCCGTGAGGATTCCCCGCCACAAAGAGAGGGTTTATAGCATTTCAGTCAACGGCTCTCCCATTGCAGCAGGGAATGAGGATATTGTCATCAACGTCCCCATCGGAAATGGAGAGGTGAGTGTTCGGTCCGCTGGGCTCAGACTTCTGGAGCCTACAGGACAGCGTTTTATTCAAATAACAAAATCTATTACAGTAAGAATCTTAATTCTTACTGTAATATTACTCCATGAAATGATAGTACTAAGGATCTTCAAGTATTTCTGTCTCGTCTCTGTTTGTTAGACCTATATTTATTTTAACACCACTGTGAATAAGTTATTATATGACCTCTGACCTGTGGGTAATTAACCAAACAAATGTCTTCTAATGTTTTGATCCAGAGCATTCAGCTACTGGCCAGTCAGATGGACTCAGTGGACCTGTCTCTACTGGATGACACCGCTCTGAAGAGCATTCGGCTGCTGCAGGTATATTACTCACTGCTGGAGTGTCACTGTGGATCTGTTTTGCTTTCACATAAATGAATATTTTTGATAACGGGTTTTCTCTCTTTCATTCTCACAAAACTTCCTGTCTACACAAGTTCTGTTATAAAATAATCAGATGAAAACAGAAAAAATTTTGAAAAGTTGATTCATTTCTTTAGGTGTGAAATATTTGCATGTGCTTTTACTCTTTTAATTGTGTGGGGTTTTTTTTCCCTTCTTCTTGACAGAATCGCCTTACAACCCTGTGTGCAACATCAGAGTGACCTGACCGCCTGCTGTTCACTTGTAAATTACTTTTAAGAACATTTATCTTTATTTCAAAGCTTTGCGTCCTCTCCTCTGGCATGGTTTGATTTTTTTTTCTTTTTTTGCTGAAAGGAGAGATTTTCAAAGGTGTGGCATACACGGGTTTTGTCAGTACTTTGTTTTACATAGTAGATCATAGTTTTCTTTAAATCCAACACATTCGCTTGAATTCAGTCAGTAAATGAAGCTGTCAAAGGTATAAATGTTGGTTAAAATGTGCTTTTATACCATTTACTACTACTTAATTCATTAATCTTTGTGAGAGAGTCTAGTTAACTGCCTTACTTACTTCACCTTTTTCTTTTATGTGGGTATTACCTCCTGCTTTTGGAGCATTAGGCTTAATCTTTGTGGGAATTCTGCCTAATGTTTGTCTCATTCAAGTGCTTTTCCGGGCATTTATTCCTGTTGTTGAGTCAAACTTGTAAAGTTGTCCTATAAGCCTTGTAAGACAGTTACTTGACAGATCTGTACTGTGCAAATATGATTT